AGTTTCTCTGATTAATATTTTTACCACAATTAAAAATATTAATATCTACCACAATAAGATACAAAATATATTTAGTTAATTTTACTAAGATATATATGTAGTAAAATTTTAATTATTTTAAAATATATTAAAAGCTTATGATTCTTATTCAAGTAATTTAAATAGATGGTAAAAAAAAAATGATAAACATATAAAATATTTTATATACATTTTCCAATGCAACATAATATTTTCAAATCCAACTTAATCGTTCATAATAATTTTAATATGCAGCATGATAATTTTCTCGGTTTATTACCAAATGACATTTGTAGTGAATTTTGCGGTAAAATATAATGGAAAATTCTCTTTGTGTTGGTAATTAAATTTCTGTAATAGAGATAGCTAAAATTCAACTTTGGTGGCCAATATTTTTTTGCATGTCCTAATCTTTCTTAACATCCTTAATTAATATCCCCTTTTCGATGATAATATCTTATTCTTCACAGTTGGAAAATTTGTGTTTTCTTGTTAAAATTTTGTATGAAATATTTAACACATTTATGTGTTAATTTAACATATTGCTGTTGTGTTAATTAAACTCAAATGTTAAATTATTAAAACAACGGAAAAAATGTGAAAATAACCCAACATGCGTCTATTTTTAATTTTACACAATAAATATGTTTTGTATTATTTAGTGACAAGATTTATGTATTACAATTTACAGAAAAAAATGTTGATTTTATTTTATAATATAAGGGGGATGATAAAAGTAAAAATTAACATTTTTAAATTAAATTTTACATTAAAACTATGTTAATTTTGCACAAAGTTTATTTTAAGTTTACTTAAAATTTATATTTATTTTAAAATATTAACACATTCGTGTCACTATTTAACATATCAGTATTATGTTAAATTAACACAAAAATTTGTGCAGATTGTTAGGGACATGTTTTAACACAAATTTCTCCATTGTGTTTTGTTCATATAAAAATCACGAGATACACCAAACATTTTTTTAATTAATTTTTACATTAAAACTATGTTAATTTTGCACAACATTTATTTTACTTAAAATTTACGTTTATTTTACGTTAAAATATTAACACAGTATTCGTGTCACTATATTTAATATATCATTATCATGTTAAATTAACACAAAAATTTGTGCGGATCGTTAGGGACATGTTTTTAACACAAATTTCTCTACTGTGTTTCGTTCATATAAAAATCACGAGATTCGCCCAAAGTTTAAAAAAAAATTGACGTTCTTCACGCGAACCCCCAAAAGGGAACATTCTCTGTTTAGAGAGGAAAAAAAGAAACTCGCGAATATATATACGTCCCTCTCTCTCTCCTGGACTCTCGACGGAAGCCAACGTAGGACACTTTTCGTTTCAAGTTTCCGTTCGAGTCGCGCGGTATATTTAGCTACCGTGACATTTTTCCCCAGGGCTGTCGTTTCGTCCTCGTGTATATCTTTCATCCGCCTCCGCGTCGATTTGCAGCCAAGTGAAATAGAGAGATGTTGCAGAAAACGGGAAAGTTATTTTCTCGTTAATGTAAACATTTCCTTATTCTTCACGAGATATAAGACCCGTGGAAAAGGATACTCCCGTTTCCGATGTTCCATTAAGAGAGAAGTCACGATGCTTTTATAAATTAATATAAAATATATCTATATCATTAAAATTAAATTCCTGTAAGATGAAGCAACGCGACGCCTGATATTATTGATTTCGCGAATCATTCAACATTTTTTTATCGATTTAAAACCTTCGCATTCAGCGCTCTTTTATCGAAAAAAAATATATATGTATTCATATAGAAAAATTATATTCGGATCTCATTTTTGCTTTAACAAAAATCACATTGTTCTCTTCCACATTGCATTGTAACAAACCAGATGCACGGGTTGTAATTGCGAATCTACTTCAAAATGAAATTTTCGAGAGACCTATGGACCAAATATAATATATCGAGATAATGAGCAATTCGTTATTAACCCATTGTTGCCACATATTATCCATTACGCTGCGCTAATTAATTCTAACAAACAACTCTCTAACGCGTCTACTAACGGTATCAAATCTCTATTCGACTAGAAATTCACACAATTTTAGGCCGCCTATCAAAATTTAATGGATCATTAGATAAACGATTATTACTGTGCGTCAACGATGGCTTCGGATATTTATTTCGGGCAAAACGTTTCAACGGTTTGTACATTCGAGAATCCCATATACGCATCGGTTTAACATGTCATGTTCTCAACTTATCGAATGCGAATTTCGCTATTTGTATTATTTGATTAATTTACACAACGCAATTTGCGAGTTTCAGTAAATATCATTTGCATTCGCTATTTATTCGCAAAAAAATACGAGCAAATTTTTTTGTCTAATGCATAATATTTATTATGTAACTGGAAAATTTATTTCATTTCTAATTGATTATTCTATCATATTTTTTGCTACCTCGCGGTGCCTTTTCTATTTTATTTGCTTGAGAGATACATTAGTCCAGTTAAATTAAACTTGAAAAGAGCAACATTTTATAACAATTAGGAACAAGCTGAATTTTTGTGGAGACATTTATTTCGATGTTCTAATGATATCCTGAAATGCACCCTTAATTTTATCCAGAACGTTTTTTTATGGGGGTCAATTTTAATTTTTGGCATTATCTCGAAAACTATCAATTTTTCACGAAAAATAGTTATTATCAAAATTGTAGCTCATAAAATTCTCTACAAAAAAGGTCATTATACTTTTTTTCGTGTAACTAATCGTTTTAGAGTAAAACGGTAAAGTTGCAATGTCTGTAGTTCGTAAAAAATAAGTACTGGACGCGTTTTTTTTTTGGCTCTATATCTTCAAAACGGTTAATTCCACAAAAAAAGTATAATGACCTTTTTTTCTAGAGCATTTTATGAGCTACAATTTTGATAATAACTATTTTTCGCGAAAAATTAATAGTTTTCGAGATAATGGCCAAAAATTAAAATTTACCCCCTTTTACCCTTCATAAAAAACTGGATAAAATTAAGGGAACTTTTTAGGATTTTAATCGAACATCGAAATAAAGGTCTCCAGAAAAATTCAGCTTGCTCCTAATTTTTATAAAGTCAAATTTTACTGAATTAACATATCGAGATGTCAGCAAAGAGAATAATACACGCACACAGTTTTTCTTGCTCGAATAATTAAATCCGTATTGCAAGTCTCGACTTAACCTGTATTTATGCAATTTATCTCGCTGCGGAAAACTCGAAAATCACACGTGTATGTATACGAGAGACGGAAATATCCGCCCCGCGACGACGCGAAACTATATTTGCGCTTTTATTCTCGACTGTAAACAGAAACATTAAAACGTAGGAAACGTTGGCGACGATTAGAAATTATAGGAAAATTTTGCCATGAGAAAAAACAGAAAAGCTTATATAACTTCTTCAAGCGCGAAAATATTTTCACGAAACTCCCGAATCATTATAAAATAATTATATACGTAAAACATCCAATCGACATTCGCACTTGTGTCAAGTGCGAAGGAGTTTTCAGAAGTTTTCTCTCGTTATTATCCCAAGAGTCAGAGAGTACTTTATACTTATATTCCTCCCAATGTTGCGTAAATTCAATTAAAAAATTATACAATTGTGCGCTAATTACGCGCTCAGTAAATTTATAAAAAAATTGTGTGCGTAATTAGCAGATAATTATATACGCTGAAAAAACAATTTGTAAATTTGACTAAATTTTTCAACTAAATTAGGTACTATTTGCTAATTAAACGTTACATTAGTAATTAAGCTAAATATACGTTTTATTAGATTTAATATGTTATATTTAATTTAAATGTTTTTATATGCTCAATTAACAAAATAATATTTAATCGAAAGGTTTTGTCAACTTAACAAATTTTTTATTAATGCTTCTAATTATTTTTCTTGCTAACAGACGTCATTTCTTCTTAGGTTTAAAATGAAGAAAGATATATAATCGAGCATGCAATTTCGAAAAAACTTACGATTCACGAGATTCATCAACATACAGAGTCTTCTAAAACTTATCGGATCAGCTAGTAATGAGATTCCTAAGGTTATTTGAAGACAATTTTTCCTCAACACGCGAAAATGTCAAGGAAAATCATCATCTTTTTACAAGCTTCCAACTTCTAAAGATATAAATTAAACATATAAATTACAACATACAAATTAATTAAACATATAAATTAAAATTCTATTAAATTAAATCAGATATGAAATTAACTAAAAAATGTAATCCTATTAATATTTAATTAACATTTTATTTAAATAATATTTTATTTTCACAAGACTCAGTTTGCGAAAAATCCTTTATCGAATAAGCATTCTCCGACTTTCTATTACTTTTCATTTCTCTCCTATATTTTTCTCTTTCAATCGCGATCGAAAAATATAATTATAAAAACGAACATTATATTTCAGTTATTTTCTTCTAATATTTTTAATGTCAAAAACTTTCGTCCGATATTTCTAATTATACAATCCGCTTATAATTTTATCTGATCTGTATGTATTAAGTGTTTAAGAATGTATACGTATAGTTATAGATTATAGCTGTAATTAAGTGAATTTGATTAGTTGTCATCAGATTCACCTGCATAAAACGTCGATATGCATTTCGATATTTGCGACACCTTGTATTATGCAGTTCGAAGTTCATACAATATACCATAAATAATATAATAATTCCTTATTTTGTCCTTATCTTATTAATACTTTATCATTAATAACAAATCTACACCATAAAAATTATTTTATGCAATATTAAAAAACCTTTTTCCTATTATTTTTGTCGTCTAAATGTTCGGCTTTAATTTAGATATTAAAATTTAACGATTTCGCAAATGTAGAAAATATTCTATTTATTATATGACAAGGTTATGTGTCAAATAAAAAAATATAACTGTGTTTGTTATAATAAACATCTTTAAGCGCTTTAGTTCAATGTTTTCCACATTTGCTATTTATTTGCCTATTCAGTGTCAAATCTATCCATAAGCGAACAGCAGCTAGTAGCAGTAAGAATTGAGAAAAGATAATAACAGTGACAACAGTTATTTAATACAAAGGGAACTAAAAGCAAGAGGCGAGTTCTATAAAAAAAGTAAGAAAAAGTTATATATAACATTAATTAATATACATATAATACAATATCTCTTTTACTTATTTAACCAACAAATATTAATTGAAAAAATATATCGTTAATTAAAATAAAATAAACAAAAAATCGAGTTTTAATAAACTTCTATATATTACAAGCAAATTATTAGACCGCTAGTCAATAGTATATTTCTCATTTTCTGATGTATTTGACATTTTTTACTGTTCCACTTTTACTGTAAAATGTGTATTTATTATCAACGTTTTATCAAGAAGAACGACATATCTAATTCTGTTGAATTAGATACGACTGCCTTTGCATTACATTTCATTATATAAACCTTATATGTTTTTGTATAATACATAGAAGTCTGTGATTTCTCGTGTCTTAAAAAAAATCGTGTAATTTATTTCAAATCTCATAAAATTTTCGTGGATATAGTACCTCACCTTCGATAAATTTAATTATTAATAAAAAACAGAAAGTTAATTATGACAGTAGTTTGTGATGATAGAAATTACCACGAGTAAATTTATAAAAAGAAAATAATAATCACTCAACTTTATTAAAAAACAATTTTAAATATAAAAATCAAAATTATTTATTTAGAAAAATAACCTTTATTTCCAGCTGCACAGATAAAAGATTGGGCTAATAATCAACAAACGAAGTGGTGTAAATTCAAACCGAAAAGACAAAATATGATACAAGCAGCGACTATGACTGAAGGACAGAGTGGTCAGAAGAAGACCCCGCCAATGAATAAAAGCCAGAAGAATACCATAAACATGACCGAATCCAGTACATCATATAAATGTCATAAGTGTGGTATGGAGTTTACAAGTTTCACTGACTACTATTCGCATATCTGCATTCCATAAAAAAAAATAATATTTGATCTAATTTATATTTGATTTATAATTACTTATTAGTTACAAATCGTATCAAATAAGCAATGAACATCTCGCATTCACTAAATCAATCATGATGACCGATAGCGATTCTCGCACTCTTTTCTTTCCTTTTTCGGTTTCTAGAGTCCTATATTAATTACTTAATATACTGACAATGCGTTCTGTTGTACAATAGCTGTTAACTTCGATCCATACTGTATAAGCGACCTATTTAATACACAGAAAGAATTTTATCGTAAAATTTATCCTGAAATTCATGTCAATCACGGGATAATAATAGACAGCAAGAATTTTATAAACGTTTTTTTGATTAATATTTTTATTATAATAACAAATATTAATATCTTTTACAATAAGATATAAAAATGTTTGATCAATTTTACTAAAATATATAGTAAAATATCAAAAATTTTTAAATATTTGCAAAATTATATTTTATATTTATAATTCTACGTGTTTTAAATGGAAGATAGATACTACTAAAAATTATGACAATACCAAATACTTTATATAAATTTTACATAGTAGCATATTTTCTATCCAATTTAATTATTCATGATAATTTTAACACGCAGTATTGGAATTTTCGACTTATTACTACCAAACTACGCGATAAAATATGTAATGAATTTTATGGTTAAATATAACAAAAAATTCTTTCCGTGTATGAATTACCATATGTATATGAATACGTATATGCACATTAAAAGCATAAGATATGAAACATGTTTGACGAATTTTACTGAAATATATATTAAAATTTCAAAAATGTTTAAATATATTCAAATTATCAACTTATAATTGTAAGTGTTTTAAATGGTTAAATTGTGTTAAATGGTGTCAAAATCACTCAGAAAAATGATATTGCAAGTACAGCAAAAATTTTCTAGGTATAAAAATTAACTAAACGTCTAACTATATCAGCAAAATATTTTTTTGGGTGTATAGATACCAAAAAAGTTATAACAATACAAAATATTTATAGAAATTTGACGTAGCAACATAACATTTTTAATCCAATTTAATCATTCATAATAATTTTAATAAGCAGCAAAATAATTTTCGACTTAATACCGAACACTACAAAATATGTAATAAATTTTATGGTAAAATTTTACGAAAAACTCTCTCCGTGTATGAATTATCATATGCATATAAATACATATGTGTACATTAAAAACAAGTTTCGTAAATTATTTTCTCTAAGCTTTATTCTCCTTCCTACTATAGTTACATCCGTAAATCTCGAAGATCTCCCAAACAAATAGAATGTTGCAAATGTAGAATTCGAGAATAAAGTATCTAGTATTAAACTAATAAAAAAGTTGTGTAAAACTGTCAGGACAAATCAATATCAATCATAAATAGTTATTTGCTTTCCGCGCTTGTTCATTATATTTTATCGTTAATAAAAATCGCAACAACATAAAAATTAAATTATACAATAACTAAAATATTCTTTTTCTTATATATTATTTTTTGACGCTTGAATATTCTGTTTTAATATAGGTATCGAAATTTAACAATTTCGCAGAATCTGAAAATATTCTTTTTATTATATGACAATGTTATGAGACAAATCGAAGAAATATCTGTGTGTTATTAAGTATATATAAACATCTTTAAACGCTTGAGTTCAATGTTTTCCATATTTGCTACTTATTTGCCTGTACAGTGTAAAATCTATCCATAAGCGAACAGCAGCTAGTAGCAGTAAAAACTGAGAAAAGATAATAACAGTGATACATATATATACACAAAAAACATGATCTTTTTTACTTATTTAATCAACAAAAATTAATTGATAAATCGTTAATTAAAATTAAATTAATAAAAAAACGAATTTTCAACTGTAAAGACAAAAAGCTTTAAATATGAAAATCTATAAAGAAACATAAGTTGTACATAAGTGTTTTTAATTAACAAAACATTTATTAAAATTTTTTTATCTTTCAATTTTAATTGTCAGTCATATAAATTCTGTATAAGTACATTATTAGACCGCTGCTCATTAGTATATTTCTTACTTTTATATGTATTCGACTTTTACTGTAAGATGTGTATTTACTATCAATCTCTTATCGAGAAGAACGCCACATCTAATTACGTTCAATTAGACTTGGCTGCCATTTCATTACATTTCACCATGTACCCCTTATATATTTTTGTTTAATACATAGAAGTCTGTGATTTCTCATGTCTCGAAAGACAATCGTGTAATCCATTTCATGTCATAAAAATATTCGTGAATATGGTACCTCACTTTCGATAAAATAAATTATCAAGAAAAAGTTCTTTATATAAATTATAAAGAACAGAATGTTAATTATGACAACAGTTTGTAACGACAATAATTCGAATTACAAATAAAATTACAAGAGTAAATCTAAAAAAAAACTAATAATCACTCTCTACTTTATAAAAAAAATTTTTAAACATATAAATCAAAACTATTTGTTTACAAAAATTGCTTTTATTTCCAGCTGCACAAATAAAAGATTGTGGCAAATAATCAACAAATCAAGTGGAGTAAATTCAAACCGAAAAAAAACTAAAAATCATACAAGCAGAGAGTATAAGAAGAAGAAACTGGCCAATGACTGATACCGGACGCGTACCACCCATTTGTTATAGATGTGAACGTTGTAATATAACGTTTTCGACTTACATGGAGTTAGCAGTTCATATACGTAATACACATTTGTAGATAATCTTCGAATTATTATTCAGTAATTACAAATCGTAATAAATAAGCAATGAACATCTCCCATCAAAACTAAATCAATCATGATGACCGACAACGGCTTATATAATTTTTTCTCGTACTCCTTCCTGGTTTGTAAAGTCCGATATTAATTTTTTAACATAACGACAATGCGTCCAGTTGTACGATAGCTTATAACTTCGATCCATAATGTATACGCGACACAGTTAATACACAGAAAGAATTTTATCTTAAAATTTATCCAGAAATTCATGGCGATCATAGGATAATAACAAATTAATAATAACAAGGATAATAAAAAATGTTTGATCAATTTTACTAAAATATATAGTAAAATTTTAAACATTTTTAAATATATATTCATAATTATATATTCTACATTTATAATTGTAATTGTAGTATATATATGAAATAGATATCAAAAAAAGTACGATACAAAATATTTTATATAAATTTTACATGGTAGCATAATATTTTCAATCTAATTTAATTAATCATTTATGATAATTTTAACATGCAGCATAGTAATTGTCGACTTATTACAACGAAACGCGATAAAATATATAATGAGTTTTATGGTAAAATATAACCAAAAATTCTCTCCGCGTGTATAAATTATCATATGTATATAATTATGTATGTGTACATTAAAGATAAGTTTCAGTGAACTATTATTTTCTTTATACCCTTATTCCCCTTTCTACTATTGTTACATCTGTAAATCTCGGAGATCTTCCAAACGAACAGATTGTTACGAATGTAGAATTTGAAAATAAAGTAGTATTAAACTAATAAAAAATGTGTGAAACTGTTAGAAAAAATCAATATCAATCAGAAATCAAATAGTCATTTGCTTTCAGCGCTTGTTTATTATATGCTCATCATTATAATAAGAAATGCAACATCATAAAAATTATTTTATATAATTAAAACATTTTTTCTTATATATTATTTTTTGTCGATTAAATAAATCTTCTGCTTTAATTTAGATATTAAAATTTAACGATTTCGCGGATTTTCAATATATCCTATTTGTTATATGACAAGATTATGCGGCAAATCGAAAAAATATCTGTGTATTATTATAAACATCTTTAAGTGCTTTAGTTCAACGATTTCCATATTTGCTATTTATTTACCTGTACACTGTAAAATCTATCCATAAACGAACAGCAGTTAGTATAGCAGTAACAACTAAGAAAAAATAATAACAGTGACAACAGTTATTTAATACAAAAAGAACTAAAAGTAAGAAAAGAATTCTAGAAGAAAAAGTAAGAAAAAGTAAATAGTAATATCATATTATATATATATATATACATACAATACAATATCTCTATTATATATTTCATCAACAAAAATTAATTGATAAAATATATCGTTAATTAAAATGAAATTAATAAAAAAATCGAGCTTTAATAAATTTCAACTGGAAAGAAGAAAAACTTTAAATAACAAAATCTGTTAAAAAACACAAGATGTTCATGAGTTTAATTAAATAACAAAACATTTATTTTTTTTTTTAATTTAATTTATCTTTGGATTTTAATTATCAGTCGTATAAATTTCTATATATTACAAGTACATTATTAGACGGCGACATTAAAAATAATGAGCAAAAACAAGCATATCTAATTGAGTAGAATAAGTTGGAGATGGTACAAGTTATTAGTAAATTTCTTTTATGTTCTGGAATAATACATCGAAGTCTGTGATTTCTCATGTCTCAAAAAATAATCGTGTACGTAATACATTTCATATCATATAAAAGTTTCTTAAATATGAGAAATACCTCACCTTCGATAAATTTCATTATAAATAAAGAACAGAATATTAATTATTGCAGGAGTTTGTGATGACAATTCCAATTACAAATAAAATTATAAAACAAATTTTGAAAAAAAAAATCATTTAGTTTACAAAATAAATTTTTTAAATATCTTAAATTAGAATTATTTGTGTTTTAGAAAAATTACATTTATTTTTCCAGCTGCACAAATAAAAGATTGTGATTAATAATCAAGAAACCAAGCAATGTAAATTCAAACAGAAAAAAAAGAAAATCGTAAAAGCAGAGATTTTGAGTAAAGGACAGAGTTGTCAGAAGAGGATCCCGCCAATAAATAGAATCCAGAAGAATCCCGGACAACAATACATGTGCCTAATATGTAGAATACGGTTTGCATGTTTTATTGAATACGAAAGACATATTCGTGATATTCATCAATGTAATATATAATCTTTGATTGATTATTCATTAATTGCAAACCATTGTATTAAATGAACATTTCGCATGAAACTAAATTAATCATGATGACCGACAGCGGCTTATATAATTTTTTCTCGTACTCCTTTCTGGTTTGTAAAGTCCGATATTAATTTTTTAACATAATGACATTCGTTGGCGTCCAGTTGTACGATAGCTTATAACTTCGATCCATAATGTATACGCCACACAATTAATACACAGAAAGAATTTTGTCTTCAAATTTATCCTAAAATTCATGGCAATCATAAGATAATAACAAATTGCAAGAATTTTAAAAACGTTTCTCTGAGATTAGTATTTTTATCATAATAACAAATATTATCTTCTACAATAAGATATAAAAATGTTTGATCAACTTTACTAAATTATATAGTAAAATTTTAAACATTTTTACATATATTCTAAATTATATTATCAATTTATAATTCTAAATGTTTTAAATGAAAAAGATACCAAAAAAATTATAACGATACTAAATATTTTATATAAATTTTACATAATAGCATACTATTTTCAATCCAATTAATTCATGATAATTTCAACATGCAGCATGGTAATATTCGACATAATACCAAACACTAAAAAATATGGAATAAATTTTATCGTAAAATATAACGAAAAATTCTTTCTGTACATGAATTATTATATGTATATAAATACGTATATGTACATTAAAAACAAGTTATGCAAAATTTTTATTTTCTTTATTCCCTCTCATCCCTCCACTCTATTGTTACATCCGTGAATCTCGGAGGTCTCACGAACGAAAACAGAACGTAGAACTCGAAAATAAAGTAGTATTAAACTAGTAATAAATATTGGGTAAAACTATAAAAAATAACAATATCCATGTAAAATAAAATAATTATTTGCTTTCCGCGTATGTTCATCATATTAATAAAAAATGTAACTATAACATAAAAATTATTTTATATAATTAAAACAATTTTTCTTATATATTTTTGTCTTTTCTTATATATTTTTTGTCGATTAAGCAAATGTTCTGCTATAATTTAGATATTAAAATTTAATGATTTCGCGGATTCTTAAAATATCCTATTTATTATATGAGAAGATAAAGCGGCAATCATGGGATAATAACAAATTGCAAGAATTTTATAAACGTTTGTCTAATTAATATTTTTATCATAATAACAAATATTAATATCTTCTTCAATAAGATATAAAAATTGTTTGATCGATTTTACTAAAATACTGCTACTAACTGCTGTCCGCTTATAGCTTTTTCATATATATTCTTTTTTGCCGCTTAAATGTTCTGCTTTAATTTAGATATCAAAATTTAACGATTTCGCAAATGTAGAAAATATTCTATTTATTATATGACAAGGTTATGTGTCAAATAAAAAAAATATATCTGTGTCTGTTATAATAAACATCTTTAAGCGCTTTAGTTCAATGTTTACCACATTTGCTATTTATTTGCCTGTACAGTGTCAAATCTATCCATAAGCGAACAGCAGCTAGTAGCAGTAAGAATTGAGAAAAGATAATACCAGTGACAACAGTTATTTAATACAAAGGGAACTAAAAGCAAGAGGCGAGTTCTATAAAAAAAAAGTAAGAAAAAGTTATATATAACATTAATTAATATACATATAATACAATATCTCTTTTACTTATTTAACCAACAAATATTAATTGAGAAAATATATCGTTAATTAAAATAAAATAAACAAAAAATCGAGTTTTAATTATCTTCTATATATTACAAGCAAATTATTAGACCGCTAGTCAATAGTATATTTCTCATTTTCTGATGTATTTGACATTTTTTATTGTTCCACTTTTACTGTAAATGTGTATTTATTATCAACGTCTTATCAAGAAGAACGACATATCTAATTCTGTCGAATTAGATACGACTGTCTTTGCATTACATTTCATTATATAAACCTTATATGTTTTTGTATAATACATAAAAGTCTGTGAATCCTCGTGTCTTAAAAAAAATCGTGTAATTCATTTCAAATCTCATAAAATTTTCGTGGATAAAGTACCTCACCTTCGATAAATTTAATTATTAATAAAAAAACAAGAAGTTAATTATGACAGTAGTTTGTGATGATAAAAATTACCACGAGTAAATTTATGTGTCAAATAAAAAAAATATATCTGTGTCTGTTATAATAAACATCTTTAAGCGCTTTAGTTCAATGTTTTCCACATTTGCTATTTATTTGTCTGTTCAGTGTCAAGTCTATCCATAAACTAACAGAAGCTAAGATCAGTAACAACTGAGAAGAGATAATAGTGACAACCGTTATTTAATACAAGAAGAACTGAAAGAAAGAAGCGAGTTCTATAAAAAGTAAGAAAAAATTAAATATAATATTTATATATATATATATATATATATATATATATATATATATATACATATATATATACATATAATACAATATCGCTTTTACTTATTCAAACAACAAAAATTAATTGATATTTCACAAATTTAATTTAAATTTATAAAAAAAATCGATTTTTAACAAATTTCTACTGCAAAGTAGAAAAAGCTTTAAAGAAAAATATTTATATAAAAACCTAAGTTGTCTATTAGTGTAATTAAATAACAAACCATTTATTTAAAATTTTTTTTATCTTTGGATTTTAATTGTCATCATATAAACTTATATATATTACAAATACATTATTAGACCACTAAGACTGCGACATTAAAAAGAATGAGATATATAAATCAAATTGGATATGAGATAATTAAATATATAAATCTAAATTATTTGTTTACAAAAATTATCTTTATTTTCAGCTGCACAAATAAAAGATTGTGGCAAATAATCGACAAACCAAGTGGTATAAATTCAAACCGAAAAAACAAAATATCACACAAGCAGAGACTATGGACGACGAACAGAGTAGTCAGAAGAAACCTACAGTAAATACCAATGATTATAAATGCCCATTTGATAGTCAATCTTTTAACACAGCCAATGAGCTTCACGAACATATGCGTATCGCTCATTTCTCTTGTTCGTCACAGAATCGTCAGAGGGAACCTGGGCTTCAGCCTCCTATGGGCGAAGGACAGAGTAGTCAGAGGAAACCTGGGCTTCAGCCTCTTATGGGCGAAGGACAGAGTAGTCAGAAGAAACCTGCGCCCCAGCCTCCAGTAAATACCAATGATTTTAAATGCCCATATGATAATCAATCTTTTAACACAGCCGATGAGCTTCACGAACATATGTATATCGCTCATTTCTCTTCTTCGGCACCAGACCCATATCCTAAACAATGAACATATCGCATCAATTTAAAGTAATCATGATGACTGACAACGGCTTATTTAATTTCATTCTCTTTTCTTTTCTTTTTTGGTCTGTAAAGTCTGACATTAATTTTTTAATATATTGCGTCCACTTGTACGATAGCTGATAACTTCGATTCATACTGTATATGCGACACAATTAATACGCAGAAAGAATTTTGTCTTAAAATTTATCCTGAAATTCATGGCAATCATAGGATAATAACAAATTGCAAGAATTTTAAAAACGTTTCCCTGAGATTAGTATTTTTATCATAATAACAAAAATTACCTTCTACAATAAGATATAAAAATGTTTGATCAACTTTACTAAAATATATAGTAAAATTTTAAACATTTTTACATATATTCTAAATTATATTATATTATAATTTATAATGCTATGTGTTTTTAATGAAATAGATAAATACTAAAAAAAATGATAACAAAACAAAATATTTTATATAAATTTTGCATAGCAGCAATCCAATTTAACCATTCATGATAATTTTAACATGAGGTATGGTCATTTTTGACTTAATACCACGAACCATAAAACATGTAATATTTTTTATAATTTAATATAGCGAAAAAATCTTTCCGTGTATGAATTATCACATGTATATGAATACGTATTTGTACATTAAAAGCAAGTTTCAGTAGACTATTTTTTTTTTATGCCTTCACTGTCCTTCCTAGTATTGTTACATAAATTTCAGAGATCTTCCAAACGAATAGAATGTAGCAAATGTAGAATTCGAGAATAAAGTAATATTAAAACTAATAAATAATGTTGTGTCAAACTGTCAGAACAAATCAATATCAATCAAAAATTAAATATTTATTTGCTTTCCGCGCCTGTCATTATATTTTATCATTAGTAAAAAATGCAACAACATAAGAATTAAATTATACAATATTTAAAATGTTTTTTCTTATATATGATTTTTTGACGCTTGAATGCCCTTATTTAACTTAGGTATCGAAATGATTTCGTGGATTCTGAAAATATACTGTTTATTATATGACAAGATTATAAGGCAAATCGAAAAAATATTTGAGTGTTATAATAAACATCTTTAAGCGCCTTAGTTCAATGTTTTCCACATTTGATATATATTCGCCTGTATGTTGTAAAATCTACCCATAAATGAACAGCAGTTAGTAGCGGTAACAACTAAGAAAAGATAATAACAGTGACAACAGTTATTTAATACAAAGAAAACTAAAAGCAAAAGGCGAGTTCTAAAAGAAAAAGTAAGAAAAAGTTAAATATAATATTTATATATATATACATATAGTACAACATCTCTTTTGCATATTCAAACAAAGTTAATTCATAAAATATATCGTTAATTAGAATTATATTAATAAAAAAATTAAGTTTTAATAAAACCTTCGATAAATTAAATTAGCAGTAAAGAAGCAAATGTTAATTATTGAACTGTTAATGATGATAATAATTATAATTACAAATAAAAATATAGGAGTAAATTTGAAAAGAAAATAATAATTACTCATCTTTACCAAAAAATTCTTTAAAATGTGTTAAATCAGAATTATTTGTTTACAAAAATTATCTTTATTTCCAGCTGCACAAATAAAAAATTGGGGCAAGTAATTAACAAACCAAATAGTGCAAATTTAAGCCGAAACGACAGAAAATCATACAAGCAGGAACTATGAATGGAGAACAGAATGGTCAGAAGGAGAACTCGTCAACGAATAAAAGTCAGGACGATACCGTAAACGCGACCAATATAACAATATGCTCAGTATGTAAAAGTGAGTTTACAAGTTATCTTGAGTTCCTAAATCAATTGCATTCAATAATATGCTCAAGATGTCAAATGCGGTTTACAAGTTACCTCGAGTTCGATAATCATAGGCGTAATTATCATCAAAGTCATAATTGATTGATTATTCAATAATTACAAATCGTATTAAATAAGCAATGAACATCTCCCATCACACTAAATCAATCATAATGACCGACAGCGACTTATTAATTTTATTCTCGCACTCTTTTCTTGCTTTTTTGGTTTGTACAGTCCGATATTTTTAACATGACGACAATGCGTCCAGTTGTACGATAGCTAATAAATTCGATCCATATACTGTATACGCGAAACAATTAATACACAGAAATAATTTTGTCTTCAAATATTTACTGAAATTCATGCCAACCAGGACCATATTGCGAGAATTTTGTATATGTTTCTCTTATTAATATTCTTATCATAATAACAAATATTAATATCTTCTACAGTAAGATATAAAAAATGTTTAATCAATTTTACTAAAATATATAGTAAAATTTTAAACATTTCGAAATATATACAAAATTACATTCTGAATTTATAATTCTAATTGTTTTATATGAAACAGATACCAAAAAGTTATAACGATACAAAATATTTTATATAAATTTTACATATAATATTTTCTATCCAATTTAATCATTCATGATAATTTTAACATGCAGCATAGTAATTTTTGACTTAATACCGAATACTATAAAATATGTAATGAATTTTATGGTAAAATGTAACGACAAATTCTCTCCGTGTATGAATTACCATATGTATACGAATACGTATATGTACATTAAAAGCAAATTTCAGTAAATTATTATTTTTTCTATGTCTTCACTGTCCTTCCTAGTATTGTTACATCCGTAAATTTCGGTGATCTCCCAAATGAATGGAATATTGCGAATAAAGAATTCGAAAATAAAGTAGTATTAAACTAATAAAAAATGTGTGGAACTTAACGTTAAAAAAAATCAATATCAATCAAAAATTAAACATTATTTGTTTTCCGCGCTTGTTCATTATATTTTATCATTAATAAAAAATGCAACAACATAAAAATTAAATTATACAATATTTAAAATATTTTTTCTTATTTATATTATTTTTTGACGCTATGTTCTGCTTTAATTTAGTTATCAAAATTTAACGATTTCGCAAATGCAGAGAATATTCTGTTTATTATATGACAAGGTTATGCGTCAAATAAAAAAAATATATCTGTGTCTGTTATAATAAACATCTTTAAGCGCTCTAGTTCAATGTTTTCCACATTTGCTATTTATTTGCCTGTACAATCTATCCATAAACATCCAATGTAAAATCTATGCATAAACAAACACCAATTAGGATCAGTAACAACTTAGAAGAGATAATAACAGTGACAGTTATTATCAATACAAAAAGAACTGAAAGCAAAAAGAGTTCTAGAAGAAAAAATAAGAAAAAGTAAAATATAATATTTTTATATATATACATGATACAATTAATCAACAAAATTTAATTAATAAAATATATCGTTAATTAAAATTGAATTAATAAAAAAAATCAAATTTGAATAAATTTCATCAGCGCAAAAAAGCTTTAAATAACAATATTATTAAAAAACATATGTTGTTCAAGAATGTAATTAAATAACATTTGTTTAAAAATTCTTTTTATCTTTGGATTTTAATTGTTAGTCATATAAATTCTGTATATTATAAGTGCATTATTAGACCGCTGCTCATTAGTATATTTCTTACTTTCATATGTATTTGATATTTTTTACTGTTTTACTTTTACTTTAAGTTGTGTATTTACTATCAATCTCATATCGAGAAAAACGTCTAATTCCGTTCAATTAGATATAGTTGCCCTTGCATCACATTTCACTACATAACTCTTATATGTTCTAGTATAATACATAGAAATCTGTGATTTCTTATTTCTCGAAAGACAATCGTGTACGTAATATATTTAAAGTCATATAAAATGTTCGTGAATATGGTACCTCAGCTTCGATAAAATAAATTATCAATAAAGAACAGAATGTTAATTACGGCAGCAGTTTGTGATGACAATAATTCACATTACAAATAAAATTACAAGAGTAAATCCAAAAAGAAAATAATAATCGCTCTACTTTATAAAAACAATTTTTAAACATATAAATCAAAATTATTTGTTTACAAAAAATGTCTTTATTTCCAGCTGCACAAATAAAAGATTAGGGCAAACAATCAACGAACCAAGTGGTGTAAATTCAAACCGAAAAGATAGAAAATTATACAAACAGAGAGTATAAGTGGAGAATAGAGTGGTCAGAAGAAGAACTCGTCAATGAAGAAAAGCCAGAATACCGGATACATACCAATTATTAAACATAAATGCGCACTATGTGATATGGTGTTTTCAACTTACTATGACATGATAACTCATATGCGTAATATTCATTTTCGTAGAAGATAATCTTTGATTTATTATTTAGTAATTACAAATCATATTAAATAAGCAATGAACATCTCGCATCTATTAAATCAATCATGATGACCGACAGCAACTTATTTAATTTTATTCTCGCACTCTTTTCTTTCCATTTTTGGTTTGTAAAGTCCGATATTAATTTTATAACATAAGACAACGCGTCCAATTGTACGATAGCTTATAACTTCGATCTATAATGTATACGCGACACATTTAATACACAGAAAGAATTTTGTTTTAAAATTTGTCCTGAAATTCATGGCAATCATGGAATGATAACAGACAGCAAGAATTTTATAAACGTTTACCTCAGTAATATTTTTATCATAATAACAAATATTAATATCTTATACAATAAGATGTAAAACATGTTTGACAAATTTTACTAAAATAAATAGTAAAATTTCAAACATCTTTAAGTAGATCCAACTTACCAATTTATATATCTAAGTGTTTTAAATGGTATAGGTACCAAAAAAATTATAACAATACGAAATATTTTGTATAAATTTTACATATCGTAATATTTTCAATCCAATTTTATCATTCATGATAATTTCAATATGCATCATGGTAATTTTTGATTTAATACCAAACACTATAAAATATGTAATGAATTTTATGGTAAAATATAACGAAAAATTCTATATATATGCATTATTATATATAAATAAATAAGTATATGTACATTAAAAACAAGTTTCAGTAAATTATTATTTTTTCTATGCCTTCACTGTCCTTCCTAGTATTGTTACATCCGTAAATTTCGAAGATCTCCCAAACAAATAGAATGTTGCGAATGTAGAATTCGAGAATAAAGTAGTATTAAACTAATAAATAATGTTGTGTAAAACTGCCGGAACAAATCAATATCAATCAAAAATTAAATATTTATTTGCTTTCCGCGCTTGTTCATATTTTATCATTGATAAAAAATGCAACAACATAAGAATTAAATTATACCATATTTAAAATAATTTCTTCTTATACCTATATTATTTTTTGATGCTTGAATACTCTTATTTAATATAGATATCGA